TTAATAGCATTGAATGAACCGAAGATATGAAACGTCAAAGTCGTATATTTGCACTGGTGTAAATACGTGAGTTTGACAAATAATTAAAATAAATACATTACTGTAAGATGGGCGGGACCATGCGGTGGGCGGAACTCAGAATGTGTAGTTTTTGGGCAGGCGGTATTTCCAGCTTCTACCGCCTGCTACGCAGGCTATGTGTGATACGGACCTCTGAACAGCCATGGACCTGGAGTTACAGACAGGCTTTTAGCCAGGGTCCTAAAAGAGGGCGACCAATTTTGGTATACCGAAACATCTACAGTAAAGAGGGGGGGGGAGAAAACGTTCTCTGGAAAACCTTTGAAGTTTACGTTGCTTCATGTCAGCATCTGGTCCAAGCTTGTTCGAAATTTTTAAAACACACTTGGCTTTGTGAGTTTGTGCCGCTATGATTCTTTACTTAACTACGACATTTTCATTCAGCCAGGTACACCATCAAATTGATCAAAATGTCAAATGTATAATAATAATGAGAATTGAAGCTATTTCGTTTCAGATATATTAATATACTTAGGGGAATAATTGAAAATAATTTCCCTTTTCCCCCAGAATTTGGGCGTCCAAAGGCGTCCACTTTTCGTTCTAGGGGCGTCTGGCTAAAAGCCTGGTTACAGACCAGGTCAAAATAAAGTAAATCACTTTTAATGAATAATTAAGCCCGGATCACACGAGGATGAGAGTGGGAGAGTAGGCAGTTACCTGTACGCGACCTTCGTTGTATAGCTGTTCTTAATGTTTTCCCAACACTATCATGTATTCTATTTTAGTTAAAACATAGTTGGAACAGTGATGAGAGTTTTATTTTGTTAATCTAGAGCTTGCAAAGTCCCATGTAACAATGGTGACTGCTAACTCTCATCAACTCTTATCACTCGTTTGATTAGGGCTTTCGTCCGTATCTTGGGTTTGTATCTACAATGTCATCTACGTACCTCGGCCCCCATGGCATCGTAATCTCGAGCTCTGGTAAAAGATCGCCCTAATTTTGAGATCTTCCCTGTCGCTTTGTCTATCGTGATGATATCTCTAAAAAGGCACAATATCACTTTAAATTTTTACTGTCACTGCAGAAACAGCCAGTTTTGGGTACGATTTAGAGAGTTAAGCCATTTTTCCAGTGTTTTCTTGCAGGCAGTAGGAACATAGTCTACAATTAATCAAGATGTGATTGTTTGGAAACTGAACAGAATGTGTTGTTTTTGTCCGGGTTAATGTTAATTTGTACACGGTCACGGTGATTCAGCTCATTGTTCTTTCGTATAAGGGAATAACAATAGCCAGGTGATCTTGTGTTCGTATTTTAGCCAATCAGCGCTCAGAAAGGGTTGTCCGAATAGAAATCCATTTTGATGTATTCAGTCAATTATATCTTTCGTTATTCTTTATGAAACTAGTTGAAATTTTGTGATTATGTTTGGTTATGAGAACTACAGTATAGCTCTAACAAAAATATGGAATCAAAATAAAGTATATTACAGGAGATATTCAGTTGTTTTAATCATAAAATGGATTTCTATTTGACAACTAGTGCCAGTACTTTTCCGCGTATCAAGATCACCTGGAGGGATAGTAGTGTCAAGGTCTTCTATTTTGTGGCTTTAAAGTTTGCTAGACCTCCAGACCATCATATCTTGGCAAACTATGATCGGAAGTACATGCACAACGTATACAATATATTTAGCAGACTGGCTGCAAGTTAGTGATTTATTCGTACGAGTTGTCATTTCAAATGCTCCAATTCGGATTGGACTAGATTTCAAATCCTAGTCGGAGTTGAAATACTACATAAAAGTGTAAAGGAGAAACCTAAATATTTCCTTACCCAGCTTGTACTTTCTCTTTCGTTATAGACTCGATCATTTTTGTGCCCAGGTCGTAAATTGTTTCCATTTCTGTTGTTTTCAATGTCAGTTTACCAAGTTTTGAACCCTGGGAGAAATTAAACAAACCATCAAACACAGCATACCTCAGTCAGAATAACATATCTTTTATGTTTGAGGTTTTTTCGTTATCTTCGTAAACTGAATCAATAAAATTTCGCACGGTTGGTGCAAGTGGTGACGATAAAACTGCAGTGTAAAGGAAATGCCTGAAAAAGAGCCTTGTCAAAATGTCGAAGTTCTGCCTATTTTTTTCAGGTAGATGTATATCCTTCACATCACAGCTTTCTGGAGCTAGATGGTGATTTCACAGTCTGACAGTTCAATACAATGAATACATGGATTATAATGAATATTTTTCTTACCGTTCCAGTCGCAGGTCTGTCAATTTGTATCTCAACGACTTCACCTTCTATTATTTCAGTTTCCTCCCTGGTAAAAAAAAGATAAGATGAAGAGTATACTATGATACTATCACAGAATAGAGACCACGCAGAACTCCGACTCAGTCAAAAAAGCGTAATGCCACGCCACGATATGCAATGATTCATCATCAAAATGCACTCGTAAAAAGACACACGATGTCACTTGTAATGAAACTGTAATGCCATCACTTGCGATGGAGTCAACGAAGAGAACACTCCAAAGAACAGGCAGGAACAGTGTATGTATGTAGTAGTGCCATATAGTAGCAGCCGTGGTTTGTGCCTGAACTGTCTTCGCCAGGAGGGTCCCGCTTTTCTTACGAAGGGCACACAGTAGAAACTATTTTAATGTTTTGTGGTAGTGGTTTTTGGGATATGCCGGATACCGGTAAATATAGACATCTGGCAGTATCCGGTTTCACGGAAAATCTTGCCAGATATTTATCTGATAGTACTGGAATTTTTATTAGAACCATGAAACCGAAAATATTACGTTTGGCTGTTTTGTGTATTAAGAAATTGCCTATGCCACGAATGTTTATTACATAAGGAGATAAAGTACATGCTTAAACAATGAACTATATTTATATGAGGAAAATTAGTGAAGCATTGTCCAAATAACACCATTATTGGCAACACAGTATCCAGTATATACTGGCATATTGGCAACACAGTGTCCAGTATATTCCTAGTGGTTCCATTTACAGCAATACTGCACATACTTGATTCTGACTCCAATTGAGCGTCGAAAAGCTTGAGTGAGCGCTTCAGTCTTACTCATTTCCAAAGAAAAGATCTCACTACCAGCAATACTGGTGAATGGTGTATCTGGACCCAATGACTGAGCCATACCTAAACGATATTTGCATAGCAATAAGATTCCCACCAACTGGAGTTGAGGATTCGTTCTTCAATCTGATCTTACCATTGAACATAATGCTTTCTTAATCAAAATAACCAATCTCGAATTTCTAATAAAGCCCCCTCTATTATTAACCAGCCATGCAACCACACCCTGTTCAATGGCCACGTGTCATCGTCCCAGAAATTCCTTTGTTCTAACTTGTATAATTTCAGGTTACTGAATGAATACTTTTCAGCAATTTGTATTAAGCAGCAACAAAAGCATACCTCGTGGCAAGGGTTAAGGCCGAGACACACTGGACGCAATTCGACAACGCGGCGCAATTTTTCAGTTTTTGAAAGTTAATAAAACAGCCAATGAAAGGAAATTTTAAAAGATATGTAGATCAAACAATTCAAAATGTTATAGCGCTTCTACTGTAAATATTTGGAAAACACAAACCAGGATCAAAGTTATCCGGTGTGTCTCGGCCTTTAATTATACAGTAGGGACCTTTCGCAAATAGGTGACGGCAACGCGACGACGACGGCCAAAACAAACTAGTTCAAATAAGTAACTTTCAGAACAACATGTTTTGTATTATCCGTTGATGAATTTATTGCAGTTTAAGAAGGTTAAGACAGAGGTTTATATTCGAGAAGACTTCAACTAAGCCAATACAAAACGTGAAAATCGTTGGTTTGCTGTTGTAAACAAAGCAAGGACGTCTAAAACTCCCAAGGGCAAGGGACCTTTAATTATGCATTTTCTTTCTACACTGTCATAGATTTCATTGTATTAATACCCGTCGCTGTCCTGGTAGCTAAAGGTCCCTAATATAGAGGCCCGACGGTAGTTTAGCATCGAAGCATGCAACCAATTATTCAAAAGTTTTAAATGGTTTCATGCACGTTGCAACTTCATAGCTGTGTGGTTACATAACAATACTGTAGCTACAAGACATAACAATACTAACCCATTGCTAATGCAGTTTTCCCAGTGCCAGGTTGTCCAGCTATAAGAACAGCTCTTCCTGCAATTTTACCTTCCTAAAATTTATCATATTGTTTTATACACTGAACTAAGATTGACAGAGAAAACAAAATGTAACGTATATTATGATCATAACGTTTCCAACGTGACTCTTTCATGTTTGTCTAAAGTTGTTCTTAGGGGCTGTTCATATGAGCCAGGCGAGCAGGGATGAATCTTGTCACGAAAACTTTCTTCCTGATCATAAAAGATCATTTGTAGGGTTGTGCGATATTAAAAAAATTATCTCACGATTATTGTCAAGGAAATTATCACGATATTCGATATCGCGATAAATGAAATAAAAACAATGACCACATTTTTCAATTTTAATTAATATCAACGCATAGTAAGCTTATACTGTATATTAAAAACAAGTAAAACAACAAATTAAAGAAATATGAAGGATTTGTCTAGTCTAATATTTACTGTTCATAAACCAGAACTGTCTATGCAGTGTCTACTGTGTCTCTGCTGGCACAAATGCTGTGGCCACGCAGCGCAAGCAAAGCCTGCAATTCCATTGTTCAGCGCATTATTAAATACATAAATATTAACAGGGTGAACAGGGTGGACTTCCGTCTACGCATGCGCGAGAAACGTAAGCGTGGAGTGCACGTGAGCGCGAGTTAATCGCGTGACTGAATTATAAAAACAAACATCAAATTTGCAAAAACTACTCGTGTTATGAAGTCGTTTTCTTGTTTCTTTAGTGTTTCTACGCTCACAATTTTAGGCATTTCCAACTTAGAAGTGTTTGCTTTGGAATAAGAACGTGAAAGTAGAAATAAAAACTTTGTTGCAGCAGTTTAATTTCGCAGTGCAAATATACCTGTTTTTAATATGTATATCCTTTTCGAAGTGAGATATACAAGTGCAAATTGACCTTCTTTAAATTCGTACTTGCCCTATTTTTCACTCCATAAAAACTACTTTTATCGATGGAGAAACTATTTGACTCTAAAAATAAGCTTGAATTTTTGTGGTGATATAGGCTCAGTTCTTTGCAAACAGTGATTTAGTACTCGGTAGTGTAGTTGTTGTTTATGAACAAAAGTCTAAAATGAACTCAACATCCGTCAACAAAAAGGAGTCGCGCTTATTACTACTCTGTAGAGGATAGACAATTAATTTAACTCACTAGGAACCCGTTCTACAATATAAACTAGAAATCGGCCAACAAATTGCCACGAAGTACTACAATGAAAATAGGGTCTCTGAACTACCAATTTCACCAAACGGTCAAGTTTCTCTGCAAAGATCGGCCCTTTGCCCAATTTTCCTCGAGTAGATCATCGTGTTTTTAAGTCAAGGATTATGTATACTTTAACATAAAAGAATAAAAAAAGTGGTGATAAAGGGTAGATTTTGAATAAAATACGAATATCTGTATACAAGATCTGAGCGTTATTATGAAGCACTTGATACTTTTTCCAACAACATATTGCGATTAATTTTTTACAAAATTAAAAATATTCACACATTAAAGATATGAAAATGTAGCTTGCATTACAAAGAAATGTTGGCTTACCTAAGTTATACCTTACACGTCGATTAAATTCAAGTAAAGCCCTTTCAAAGACGCGTGTCACATTAAACTACAGGTCACATGGCGGTAGAGAACTCGACGAAGTATTCAGGATATTTCATAGCCAGTTTAAACCCTGCTGTGCACTATTCCTGTGAATTATGATGCCCAACACACCGGGTAACAAAATTTACCACTTTGTTCGGCTGTTTCAAGTACACTTTTAAGATACAAGGTCCGATTATATCATGTTCTTCGAAGCATCTGCTCAAAACAGTCCAACATAAATGTCGCCACTCATCTTCTTCGTATGAAAATATAAGTTTTCCTTTCAATTGCTTTGCTTTAAAAACAATCATTAGGTTGTTGAAGAGTTAGCCTGCAAGTTCCAACGAAAAAACCCCCGATGCTTTCAAAAACCAGTGAATCACAATGCTGTAAACTTCAACATCCTTAGAAATTGTAAGCAAAACATCGAAAAGCAAAATTTGCGGGAAAAAGCTCACGAGCCCGCACTATTTTCGTGAGCTTTTTCCCGCAAATTTAGCTTTTTCCCGCAAATTTAGCTTTTTGTTGTTTTGCTTACAATTTCTAAGAATGTTGAAGTTTTCTGCATTGTGATTCACTGGTTTTTGAAAGCATCGGGGTTTTTTTCTTTGGAACTTGCAGGCTAACTCTTCAACAACCTATTGACTGTTTTTAAAGCAAAGCAATTGAAAGAAAAACTTATATTTTCATACGAAGAAGATGAGTGGCGATATTTATGTTGTGCTGTTTTGAGCAGATGCTTCGAAGAACATGATATGATCGGACCTTGTATCTTAAAAGTGTACTTGAAACAGCCGAACAAAGTGGTAAATTGTGTTACCCGGTGTGTTGGGCATCATAATTCACAGGAATAGTATACACAGTGGCGTTTAAGCTGGCTATGAAATATCCTGAATACTTCGTCGAGTTCTCTACCGCCATGTGACCTGTAGTTTAATGTGGCACGCGTCTTTGAAAGGGCTTTACTTGACTTTAATCGACGTGTATGGTATAACTTAGGTAAGCCAACATTTCTTCGTTATGCAAGCTACATTTTCATATCTTTAATGTGTGAATATTTTTAATTTTGTAAAAAAATAAGCGCAATATGTTGTTGGAGAAAGCATCGAGTACTTCATAATAACGCTCAGATCTTGTATACAGATAATCGTATTTTATTCAAAATCTACCCTTTATCACCACTTTTTTTATTCTTTTATGTTAAAGTATACATAATCCTTGACTTAAAAACACGATGATCTACTCGAGGAAAATTGGGCAAAGGGGCAATCTTTGCAGAGAAACTTGACCGTTCGGTGAAATTGGTAGTTCAGAGACCCTATTTTCATTGTAGTATTTCGTGGCAATTTGTTGGCCGATTTCTAGTTTTTATTGTAGAACGGGTTCCTAGTGAGTTAAATTAATTGTCTATCCTCTACAGAGTAGTAATAAGCGCGTCTCCTTTCTGTTGACGGATGTTGAATTCATTTTAGACTCTTGTTCATAAACAACAACTACACTACCGAGTACTAAATCACTGTTTGCAAAGAAATGAGCCTATATCACCACAAAAATTCAAGCTTATTTTTGGAGTCAAATAGTTTCTCCACGGATAGAAGTAGTTTTTATGTAGTGAAAAATAGGGCAAGTACGAATTTAAAGAAGGTCAATTTGCACTTGTATATATCTCACTTCGAAAAGGATATACATATTAAAAACAGGTATATTTGCACTGCGAAATTAAACTGCTGCAACAAAGTTTTTATTTCTACTTTCACGTTCTTATTCCAAAGCAAACACTTCTAAGTTGGAAATGCCTAAAATTGTGAGCATAGTAACACTAAAGAAACAAGAAAACGACTTCATAACACGAGTAGTTTTTGCAAATTTGATGTTTGTTTTTATAATTCAGTCACGCGATTAACCCGCGCTCACGTGCACTCCACGCTTACGTTTCTCGCGCATGCGTAGACGGAAGTCCACCCTGTTATAAATATTAGCTTTTGTAACGTATTAAATTCGTATTTAATTCAGGAAATAGCTTTAATTCTTTTAAAAACTATATTTTCTAGGGAATTAAAGATTTTTTTAGGATTTTATAACAGCTATATAGACATGTGAAGCAATATCACGATAGTCATCGAGCATGACGATAATTTCGATATATCGTCGCTAACGTTTCTGCCTTCGATACGATGATCGTGATTGAAAATATCGCGATAAATCAAAATATATTATTTATTATTTTTAGTTAGTGTCAGATTAGATTTTTGATTGTGTTTAAACCTTTTTTAAATATCTTTTTGTTAATAACTCAATATTTTATAATAATATAAGTGTTTTTGATGGTTTATCCCATTCTTGGATTTCTGAAAACAGAAATTTAAACCCGGCCGGATTTTCTCTAAATCCGGCCGGATGCCGGAAAATTCGTTAAATCCGGCCGGAAATCCGGTGCACCCCTATTAGTTTGTGTGGTTGGACAATCAAAAGTACGCTGTTGTCTTTTGTAATGGAATGGTTATATGTAATGGAATGTTTTTGTGCTGTGCCATACAACCTAACATCTGTAGTATGAAAATAAATTCCTCTCGACTGTCTAACCTTGATCATCTCCAGAATAACTCCAGCAGCTCGTCTGGCTGACACTTGACCAACCATTCCTTGAGAAACCTTCAAAAATCAAACATTTGATAATTCTAATATCAGACGGCATTATAACACATTCCAATTATGGCCGTCTGTGGGACAAAAAGTACAAGGCCCGATACTACTCAGTATATATCTAGACTGAGGATGAATCATTGATTGCAACTGTAAAGATTTTGAGGTAATATTATTGGCAACTCTCTGACACTTGAGGAATTTAAAATTTTTGTCAAAAGTTTACGAATAATCAACCGCATGAGAATGAGATACATGTAGAAGGCTGGCTATATTTTTCCGCGGGTTCGATTCCCACCGTGGTCTGCAGGCTAACTTTTCAGCCTGCCCGGTGTGGATATACACTCAGAGTACAGTAATATCAAAAACATTATATTCACCTGAATAGTTACATAACATCAAAACACACACAAAAAAAAATGAATGATAAAAACTCTTGTAATGCCTAGAATATGTTTGACAGTTTTCGACAGTAAAAAGTTTCTCTCATCATATTCAAATTCTTCAACTTTACTTTAGTGAAGTAATATCTGATGATGACATTTTAATAGGTGAAATAAATGCAGTTAGTTCTGCTTTTATAAGTTTAGATCAAGAATCTAAGTACTATTTACAACATGAGCGGCCGTGTTGTATCGGATATACAAACTCGAGCCGAAGGCGAGAGTTTGTATATCCGATACAACACGGACGCGAATGTTGTAAATGGCTTAAAAACGACTCATCTTATGAGTTCAATGGCGAAGTAATTTTAAAAATAAACGTTGTCTAAGCCGAGAAATTCAAAGTTAAAGTTTATGTAAATCAACATGAATCTGTATCACATATACAGATACGACACGCTTATGATTTTTCTTTGTGTTTTCTTCATGAATTATTAATGAGTTTTTTAAATGTATATACAGACTGGGATACAATGTATGTACTGTATACATGTACTGTATGTCAGAATCAGATAATCATTATTGTTTAAATTGTTTTCATTGTGAACAGCCTTGGTTTACATTTCACTTTAAAGTTATTGCTAAATGCTTTAATAGGAGGATCAAGGTTCTTTTCACTCGAAATTACAATCTACAAAAACCTTTTACCATTACAAGCTTACTACTATAGACATACCTGTCTTGCTTCCAATGCATCATCTAAACCAAGACCACGAATGTGGGAATGAGCACCTAAATAATAATAAAAATATTAATTGAAACGCCTTTTAAAATTATCAAAACTCTACCTTGAAGCAAAAGGCTCTAGCGTTAGAGGAAACTAAACAGACTCATATATGAATTTATTGAATTAAATAGACTCATATATGAATTTACAACGACTTGATCAAAGAAAACTCTTCCAATTTTAAATTACTACCGTATTTAGGATAGTAAATAAGTTGCTACAGAAGAATACTGATCGACAATATCCGAATGAACATGATGACAAGAGCCTTGACAATTCATTTGCTGATTACTTCACTACTAAAATTGAAAAAATTCATGATGAAATCGTGTTAGTAAAGAATCTTCTTGTTGCACCCATTATTATTGAGAAAAGTCCTACGTCGGTATTTGATACTTTCAGACAAGTGACAGATAGTGATGTTTGGAAGCTACTTAGTAATTCTAAGATGAAGTCCTGCCTAATTGACCTGGCTCCTATTTTGGTATTGAAAGAATGCAAAGAATCGTTACTTCCTATTTACACTAGGATAATTAACCTCTCTTTGCAAAGTGCAGTAATGCCAGAACCTTTAAAGATCGCAATGTTAGATCCATTATTAAAGAAGGTCAATGCTGACTCTGATATTTTTCAAAACTTTAGACCAGTTTCGAATCTTAAATTTTTGTTAAAGCTCGTCGAGAGGGCTATGTTTGTTCAACTCAATGAATATCTTGTCGAAAATGAATTACATGAAGTCTTTCAGTCAGCCTACAAGCCATTTCATAGCACAGAGACATCTCTATTAAGGGTGCAAAATGATATTTTGCAGTCTTTGGACAAGAATCAATCGGTCATCCTTGTTCTTCTTGATTTGTCTGCTGCATTCGACACCACTGGGCACGAGATTTTATTATCTAGATTGGCAGCACGATTTGGAATCAGTGGAAATGTTCTTGCTTGGTTTAAATCGTACTTGTCATCTCGTAGTCAGTTTGTCAATATCAATGGCACTTATTCTTCCACCTACAATCTCAAATATGGAGTTCCACAAGGTTCTGTCCTCGGCCCAATTCTCTATTTGCTTTATACTGCCCCTGTGGCTGATATCATTAGGAGGTATGATCTTAGTTATCACATATATGCTGATGACACTCAGCTATATGTCTTTTGAGGCGAATAGTGACTCCCACTTGGTGAAGGCTCGTATTGAAAACTGTATAGCTGAAATACGCTGGTGGATGCTCTTTAATGGATTAAAGATCAATGATAAAACAATATCAGTTCTTACACACTCGAAGTTTCGGCCTTGACCTTCACTCGATGCAATCAAAGTTGGAAATGACTTGATTCCTTTTTCAGGTTCGGCTACTAATCTTGGTGTGATTATGGATGAGACACTCTCCTACGATGATCATGATAAGAAAGTTTGCAAGTCATTATTTCATTTGAGGAACATTTCTAGAATGACGAAAAAATCAGTGGAGGTCATAATCCATGCCTTGATAACAACGAAGTTGGACTACTGTAATTCACTCATGTATGGCTTGCCTAAACATCTTCTTTCAAAGCTGCAATCAATGCAAAACTCGGCTGCTCGGATTGTTACCTGGTCTCGGAAATATGATCATATCACGCCACTCTTAATTCAACCACATTGGCTTCCTGTTCATCACCGAATCGTTTTTAAATTTTTTCTTTTGGTTTATAAGTCAATGAATGAAGCCTGTCCATTTTACTTGTCTAGTTGTTTGCAACATCGAACATCTACTCGATCCCTCCGCTCAGTTGCAAATGAGCTTTTACTGGTGCCTTCTTCCAAAAGTAAAACTTATGGTGACAGATCCTTCGCTGTATGTGCTCCAAAACTATGGAACAAACTTCCATACAGTTTGCGGAAGGCATCCTGTATATTCAATGATTTGGTTTCTTGCACTTCACTTGGTGGAATTAATATTAGAATTAATATTAGAATCCTGTACATATCGACTTTTAAACTTTTTATTAGTAATAGTTCCCTGTATCTTTCTTTTGATTGATATAGATGGGTTTGTAAGTTTCTAATTATTTAAGTATATGTATATAATTGTAAATAATTGTATCTACTTCTTCCTATTTGTAAAGCGCCTTGAACTTTTGGATATGTGCGCTATAGAAATCGAGGATATTATTATTATTATTATTGAACAGAATAAAAAGCCAAACATGTTACCACTTTACAGTACTGAGAACATATGGTAATTTCTTTGCATATCGTTAAGTACTGGCTACACATTACGGATGCAAGTTTTCGATAAAACTCTGGCTGGCGAAGCTGCTCGAGTGTGTATGGATATGAATCTTCAACCAGCAATTTTTACGGATTATTTACTGAAAATGTGTAAAATTGATGTTGGAAATTTTAGGTACTTTACAGTCCCTCATGACACTCCGGGAAATTTTTGCCATTATTTGAAAAATACACTTAATGAAGAGTTTAAGAATTATTATAAAAAAAACAACTGAAAGAAAATGGAAAACTAAAAGTCTTCAGTAAAATAAAAAAAAATTTGAAATGGGAACATATCTAATAGAAATCCAAAATGTTAATTAAACACTGCCAAGCTGTTACAAAATTAATCCTTGCTGTGATAGAGTGTGCAGACATTGTGATCTGAATGAAGTTGGAGATGAACAACATTATGTGATGTCATGCAGAAATACAATGTTTGCAACTTTAAGACAGGATTTCATAGATGACTTAGTTATATGTGTTTATGCAATAAAAATAATTAACATCAAGCACGAGTTGTGATGTGGGCTATTGACCCCTCCCCGTCCAGCTGCTTGCCGGGTGTTCGGCTGCTTGCCGATGTGTGTATTTGTGCATCAGCATATTTAATTTCGTGATTTGTTCGTCTGCTTGTACGTTCGTTTGTCCCCTCACCATTAGTCCTTATGTCTGTCTGTGAAGCGCTTATTGTCTGTGTGTGTGTCCTTGGCACAGCGTAAATAGTGGGAGTAGTCCTTTTTGTCAACCTTGCTAGCAATGTCCGGTTTTGTGTTCGTTATTAGGCGCCTTTAGCTAGCAGGACGGCGACGGCTATTAATACAATGAAATTTATGACAGTGTAAAAAGAAAATGCATAATTAAAGGTCCCATGGGAGTTTTAGACATCGTCCTTGCTCTGTTTACAACAGCAAACCAAAGATTTTCACGTTTTGTACACAACGTCTGCCTTTCAAGCCGCGAGAAGTCGTCCTCGCCAAATTGGCTTAGTAGAAGTCTTCTCAACTATAAACCTCTGTCTTAACCTCCTTAAATTGCAATAAATTCATACAACGGATAATACAAGACATGTTGATCTTAAAGTTACTTATTCGAACGAGTTTATTTTGGCTGTCGTCGTCGCGTTGCCGTCACCTATTTGCTAAAGGTCCCTATTTGCATTATGCCGCACCCGCTCGTCGGGCTTGCTCCCCGGCTAGACCGGGTGATTTCTTTTAGATTGGTATCCTGCGTTATCCAGCGTTCTTTGGTTCCCCTTTGGTCGTTAGGTGCATATAGTTAGTCGTGCTCGGCTTCGTATGCTTACCAGGTAAGATGTCTCGTACGTTCATGTTACTATTCGTTCGGTGTTTTTTATTAATTCCGTCTCCACCTGTGGTGTGACGTTAGCTCTGTCCTTGGAGAGGCTAATTCTCGGCATCATTGATATTAGTTAAGTCGGGATGCTGGGATGGCTGAAAGTCTCTTCTACCGAGAAGACAGCTGCGCAGAATGGAGTTCATCGTAAGCCGGCTTGCCGAGTAAACTAAGCAGCCGGAACCTCTCCAACAGAGCTACACCCTCCAGAGAATCGCTTGCTTAAGCTCGAGTGCGTTAAATGTCAAATAAAATCAATCATTCTTTCATATTTTTCAAGTTAGAAGATTTGTTTCACTATGTTATGGCTATGCATAATACAAGCATCATGAGACGGTTTTCTAAATATTGTTATGATATTCTTTCAGTTTTTGACGAGATACAGTTATGTAGTTAGATATCATTGTTTATTGGCCGTACAAAGGATTTTTTCACCAGGGGAGCAGTAAGGCCTATATGCCGAAAAACGTCCCAAATATCCAAAGAATAATTAATAATGACAATCTAAAAATCGTAAATATAGTTTTCTCTGGGGGGGCAGTTGCCCCTTTGTACAGCCCTGTATTCCTACATGTTGTATTCTTAATATACCATTATTGGTATTTTTATTGGAATAAAGTTATTTATTTATTATCTAATGGTAATTACTTCTAAAACAGCTAAGGGATCATTCATTATTTATAACCGGGGGTGGGCTGGCAAAATTCAATTTACAACTAAACAAAATGTCTTGCCCCACCCCCTGCATTACAAAAAAATTCAATGACCCCCTTCACATGAATTCTAAAAAATAGTAACCCCCCCCACCAGCGACAATATAATAAATGTACAGTACAGTATAGAAATGAGCTCTTTAAACTTGTTGTAAAAGGCAGCAGATCTTTCATTTACTTGTGCTTTCAACAATTAATATGCAAGCCTATTTATCCCATTAAGCTGCAGAGTTTCCTGTTGACGAGTAAAATCATCTGACATTGTCAGATTTTTTGGTTAACCCATTAATCGCATGCCGAGCGCCGAAGAGGCTAAAGCTGTGGGTCATACCATTTTTAGCTGCTAAGAGTGTAGTAAAAAGTTGCTCAAAAAGGAAAAAGTTGCTTCAAGTTGCTCGAGCCGAAAAAAGTTGCTCCAAACACAAAAAGTGGCTCAAAAGTTGCCGAGCACAATCAGGACATGCCTAGCAGAGCTTCCCTGTTGACGAGTGAAATCAGTTAGGAGTATAGAGTTAGGAGTATAGAGTTAGGAGTATAGGGTTAGGAGTATAGGGTTAGGAGTAGGGTTAGGGTTACAGTGCCATAAGAAGCTCTTTTTTATTGGGGAGCTGAAAGCAAGGGCCAAAGGCCCAAGGAAATTTTTAAATTTAGAGTCTTTGAAATGCAATTTCCTGGACTTTGGGGAAGATTTGACAGAATTCCGATGGTAAGAAAACAGCATTCTAGTATGTCGAAATTTACAATTTAGTAGCACTAAATGGGTGGAGGCATATTTAATTAACTATATATTGGATAAGTTGTAGGAAATATGAGTAATATCTTCATTCTTTGCAGTTTGTCATGGGGATTAATTAGCCGCTTAAAATTAATTAATTGTCAGTATTTTAAAGGTATATTTATTATTTATTTAAATGATAAAGGCTGCATGATTTTGGAAAAAGAATGATTATTAGCAATTATTGGGGGGGAGGGCTGCAGCCCCCCAGCGCCCCCAGTTGCTACGGCCCTGGGTTAGGAGTAGGGTTAGGGTACTACATCAATGAACTACAAAAACTGCTAAACAGCTAGTGACTCGGACATTTGACTCGGGCTCGGATTTGACTCGGACTTCACACGGTAAACTGACAAACTCCTAATAATACTAAATTAAACCATGTATAAAATACCTAGTGTAAACTAGTGTATATAGTATATGCCAAACTTTCCCTGGACGTAATGTCGCTACATCGCTTACTTGTTAATTATCTTTTTTACTATGTACTGACAGTCTGTACATAATTGAAATATGGCAAGTTCATGGCAAAAGTTATAAAGTTAGATGTTCGATTATTTTTCATATTAGCTGCGCGCATTGCATTTTGGGTATTTGTGCATAGCATTTTGGGTCTATCTGACTTGATTAAAATTGAGAATTATGCCAGAACTTTACTAGGCTCGGTTCCAGCCGTTCCCTAGAACTTTACATGAATTAAATTTGCTGCCTTGCTCGCTCCCTGTGCTAGCAATAATTGTTACATGTCAAATTTTTCTCCACTATAATACCACTAACTGTATAATAAATAACTGGACCCCCCCTTCTGAACCAATATTTTTAGGTGGCCTCCCTTTTTCGGTAAAAAATAACTCATGACCCACCCTCTTTTTTTGCCAGCCCACCCCCAGTCATAAATTATAATGAATGGTCCCTAAGGATTGAGAGCTATAGAACTATCTGAAAATTATAGTTGCATGGTAGTTCTATCTCTCTTAATCCGCTGTTTTATCTCTCTCGGTCCACAGCTGTCTCCCAGTCTGCAGACGGAGCAGAGCTGTCTTAACAACAGTACACCCTTAACGATCGCTCAAGATTTAATGACATGCAAATATAAAAATCATCCTACCAATCCTCTCAATTCTTGTGATGTCTCGAACTTCTTGAACTTTTGCTGCTGCAGCCTAAACAAAGTGAAATTCAATCAATTGATCTCCACTATCCCAACATCCGCAGTTCACCACATCTAAATTTTGGATATTGGACATCTTCAGCTTATACCACTAAAATCCTTTTATAAGAACAGAGCGGATGAAGAACATGCAGCTTTAAATTTGTCATTTAGACACCTGGTTTTACAGTATAAGAACTAATTCAGCCTTAAATTTAGGAAAGGTGGCATCATATTGTATCCCAAAGCATCAGCATTCAGCAAGTAAAAGAATAGGGTCAGTATGAATACGATTAGCATTTCTATAGTGCAAATTTACATGTGGATATAATATGCATATTACATCAAGTGTTATGCTTACATCAAGTATTATGTGGTACATAAAATGAGGGAGATTAAAATATTTGTGATTCTTCTGTGTGTGACATGAGCTGACAATAAACATGAGCTCAACGAAGTTTCTAGCGAGGACTAAATGATTGCAATATAAGTAATTCATTTAAGAGGACCTTGAAACTAAGACTGCATTCAGAGCACTCTTGCTCAGCTGTGCAACACATATCAATGGACATGCATCATATGATTTGTTAGTTTGTTCCGGTAGCACACCCAACACTACTGTGCTGCACTGGTAAAACACAAGGAATGCGGGAGATTTCTTCAAACTGTGAAAACTGTCTTCATGTGGGAGGGAGATGATTAATGACTCCAAAATTATGCGGGAGTCTCCCGCCAAATGTGGGAGACTTGGTAGGTCTGACTTAGCCTAGACTATTAAAAAAAAATCTTTACAATGATTGTGATATACTTAATTATTAACTTTGTTTATCCTAATCCACCCTGTCAACATTCCCTGTGAGAGGAAACCAGAGCACCCAGATCAAGAGAACCCACGACTTTCGGCAGAGCATTGACCAACTCTTTTCACATGAGTCCTTAGTGAGAATCAAACCCACAAACTCAGAGGCTTGCCCTAGGTCTGTGGGCAAGTAAACAATCCAACAAAATCCAAAAACACAAGGGAAACAAGGTTAGTTGGGAAATGGCAATCACAGGATTTCTTTTTGCCTGGTGAGTTTGATGCCAGACTGCTAGCTTTGCTAATTGCACACCGAGTGTGATTTTGTTGGGCCAAAAAATGTGCACTTATAAATATTTCACAGAAGGGACAGAATGCGCACTCAGATGATAAGTGAGGAAATTCGCACATCAGTGACATCACTAAAGTATCAAACTTTTGAGTAGTTTTAAAAGTACATTTTGTCAAAAAAAATAAAAGAATTCTGTGCAAAGTGCTCACATAATGCACACCTGACTTCAATTCTTAAAACACATGCACTTCATCTAAAAAAATGCACACAGAATATCTTCCGTGCACACAGCAAAGTTAGCAGTCTGGGAACTTTGATGTTAGCCAAAATTTTGTCTCGCCTGCACATTTTGCAAACTTTCCAATCTGATAATCCAGCAATATTAAAGTGTATAATAGTAATAATACCCTTACTTCAATGATTTTTACGGTACTAGTAGTACAGTAAAATAATTCACCTTACAGATACTTACAGTCTTAGACTGTATGTACAGGTGAAGTAGATTTATATATACAGTAAAACAACTTGTCAAAACATTGTAATGTTTACACTGGATTTGCCTATTTTGAATACGTTCCCCTGACAGAAAAACAGTTTTATGGAATTAAAATGTTATTAAAACGGCTCATTCACCAAACTCTGATTTAAAACAACCATTTAGGTAAAAATAAAGCCAATTATGACTACAAAGCACATGGCAAAAAAATTCACTTACCGCCGCCATTTTGAAATCTTCCCGGGAACGCTTTACCACCTGATTCGCATGTTTTTGTCGCTAGCACTGCGCCAAAGTATGGTCAAAGTCAAGGGGCACACTCCTTTATATTGCACGGACTCTCTTGGCCATGTAACCATGTCAAGCATGGCAATATCAGTAAAAGAAGAGTTAAAAAGGCTTCTGCTTGAGAGATCACAAATATGATTCAAATCTTGACGTCTCACCTGTGCCCATTGAACTATAAATAAACTGGAAGGCTAACTGCTATGATGAAGGCCTATGATTTGATAAAGCCAAAATAGTTTTTCTGAGTTATGAGCAGAAATACTTGACCCCAAACGTTCGGCTATATATCAAAATAAAGCTATTGAAAATTTCTACTCGGTGTGGAAATTTCAAGACTTCAGCGAAAAGAAAAATATTTAAAAAATACAAAAACAACTGCAAAACGGCAAATTATCGGTAATTATGTTTGTAGTTTTTCAATATTTCCCTTTTAGCTAAAGTCTTGAAATTTCTATACCAAATAGCATTTTTCAATAGCTTCAATTTGATATATAGCCCAACGTTCAGTGTTGAGTATTTCTGCTCATAACTCAGAAAAACTAAAATGCACTGGCTTCAATTTCCCCCCCTGAGTTAGCCTTCCAGTTTATTATAGTTCAATGCCTGTGCCTAAGACGAATGGTACATCAGCGAGATTTTTTGCGGGGCTAATGTATGAATCGGGTGTACAAGTGAAAAGCTCAGTGGCAAATACCCGAAGACTATTTTTGCTTGCAATTTTATTTTCTATTCCCCCGCATACAACACAAGCTGATTCCTTGACGAAGAAACTGAATGGCTAAATGGAAATTTACGCCAGTGAAAAACTATTATAAACACTGACTTGAATTTTTACAGACTCAAAAATCAAATCACAGTCCAGTGTGGAATCAGGAATAGCCAAATGTTTTTATTTTTCCCAACCGGAAGTGAATCCAAAAGTCATACAATATGGTGGTTCTTGGACAGTTGAATTTTGCGCCATTAAATGCACTTTTAAAGGTAGGTTTCGTTAGTTTTTTAAATTATATAACACTTTAGTCTCTTGTGGGTATGTGAGTCAACTACAGCTGAGTGGCAAATTATGATGTATTAAGTTTATATGAGGCATATTTATAGGTACAGTTTGGCTGCTCGGTTGCTCCAAATGCAAATGTTGTGTATTCTGATGTCTTGTTTTCAGCATTTATATTATATTTTGGTGCAATAATTCAAAAATTATGTTTTCAGTGGTTACTCATGTATGGTAATATGTAAAATTTCCAATACTAGTTTTGGTATTTATTTAACAATTATTCGCCGAAGGCGAGGTGATTATCGGTGAATAAAAACCGAGACGAAGTCGAGGTTTTTATTCACGATAATCACCGAGCCTGAGGTGAATAATTGTTTTAGTATAATTTCATAGGTGATTATATGGAAAAAATAAAAAAATATACATTTCTTCGTCATTTAATTGACAAAAAGGCTTCGGCCGCCATTTTGAAAATCGCTTAGGTGATTATCGCGTAATAATCACCTCAACGGCAACCAATCAGCGTGGAGAATTTTCAATAATCACCTATGTAATTATACTAATATGTATTAATCCATGGACATAGTATTTATATATACCTGACTCGGCTGATGCTGTACACTTTCCAAGTATTCCAGTGAAACAAAAACCTATATATATATAACCCTCCCATTCCATAAAATGATGGTCAACCGCCATTCATGGGCATACATGCAAATTGCCTAATGGATAGCTGCACTTTGCCACAACATGAAACAAATTGGTCATGAGCCATATGTTGTAGAGCCTGAAATAATGTTCAAATGTCCGACCAAAATGAAATTTGAGTGGAAAATTTTAAAATTTTGTTGAACATTTTTTAATTGAGTTTATTTTGACTCCAGGATTCCATTGGGTGAATCAAATCAGTAGTGAGCTTAAAAATCATCTGGCATTAGACAGGGTAAAATGATAATTATAAAAGTAGGGTGCAATGCAACTCAAAGCAGCATTTTTGTCAAGTTGAACACGGACATCAGAATGATATCAGACATAGGCGTTGAAAGATCGATAAGTGGGGGGGGACCTTATTCATATATTTGTGTTCTGCATTATTAATTTCTTTTGAAATTGATTGTTTTTAAGGTCTGTGAACACAAATATATGAATATGGTCCCCCCCACTTATCGATCTTTCGTAGAGTGGATCGATATACCGGATATATCCGGTATACCGGTATTTGTTTAGATACCGATATTGGCGATATTGACAATTTAAAAATACCGATATTTCGGTATTTTGCTGCCTAATACCGAATTGAAACGCTATTTCAAGTCAAACTTGCTTACAATCACGTTTAGAAAGCAAAGTTAATTAGATTTACATCACCTTGTAGTAGGTTGGATCAATATACCAGATATATCCGATATACCGATATTTGTTTAGATACCGGTTTGGCGATATTGACAATTTAAAAATACCGATATACTGACATTTCGGTATTTTGCTGCCTAATACCGAAATGAAACGCTCTTTCAAGTCAAACTTGCTTACAATCACGTTTAGAAAGCAAAGTTAATACTCACAGATGCATGATTTTGTTCTTACAGTTCTAGCGGCTTTGGTTTAGCAATACCAGACGTCTTGTTTATTAAATCGCCTTAATCGGAAATATAAAAATGGCGAAATTTTTAAAGGAAAATTTCGACAAAAAAGAAAACTTTGATTTTGGAAGGTGGAAGTACTAGCATTTGCGAAGCAGCGAAAACTTTTTCTGGCTTTTCAAGTTTTTTTACCATAGATGCCAAGGTCGTGTTTTGTCCATGCGTGCGATGAACACACCGCAGCAACCATAGGGGGGTCCGGGGGCATCCCCCCCCCCCCCGAAAAATGTTTGAAATTTGGGTCTCGGAAACAGCATTTCAAGCATTCTGAGAATATAGTTGGGAGTTATTTTTGTTTCTCAAAAACAAGATTTTAGAGGTACATTTCGTATTAAGACACAATGTTTAATTAACAAGTAATTAATAATGCATGTGAAAACATGTGCAACTTCTAAGTACATCAAACTTTAAGCAGTATAATTGATAGCTTGATGCAATAGCGATTAACAAATGTGCTCAGGTTACCTCCTGAAGTAATTTTACAGTCAGATATTTATTAATAGCTTATACCAAAAGAAATTAGTTCAAACATTTTACAATCACCATTATTTCTCTACATTTTAGCTTCTCAGCTAACTTTCTGCTTATGCGTGAGATAATCAAACTGAAGCGTGTGAGTGTGAGGAATGATGCTGAGGCGTGTGTCACACGCTTAATGTGTGAGACTTGGCATCTATGTTTTACGTGCTTGCTAACTTGTTTATGTGTTAGTTTTAAAAATGCAACGTTTTTTATGTTTATAACTATTAGCAGCTTACTGAAACACTATCTGAATTTATATACAAAACGAATATTTTTCTGAATGATTCAACACTTCGACGCCCAATCGACGGCCTACTAATAATTGCCGCTTAGCGCCGTTAACAAAGCTTGATAGTGCGAATCTTGTGACATTTGCACTAATAACAGTATGTGCCACATTAATATTTTGTCAAAATTTGATTTTTCTTGACGGTCAGCAGTTCAGTTAGGCTTAAAAAAAATACGTTAAAAATACCGGTATTTACCGGTATTCTGATGGCGGTATATCGGTATCCGGTATCTGCGATATCGATCCACTCTAATCTTTTGACGCCTATAATATCAGATTGCTAAGGGGCCAGGGACTGTTTGTGCCAGTCTGTGGTAATCGTTGACAGTTATCATGACAAAACATCAGTTTTTAAAGTTTTTTGCTTCCTCGTATGAGCACTATGATGTAAAATCCCACCAAAATTAGTTATACCGTCCTGTACCAATATTTGAGTGGTGTTCATGTTGACAAAAACGTTCTTTGCTTATAATAAGCTCACTAATAAATATATTATGCCCATAGACAGATTTTGTGGGGGGGGGGGGGGG